GCTCGCCTCTGCTTCTTCAGGTAGCCCAGGGGTCGCCACCTGCTCGACGATCCGCTCGCTAGCCCACTCTCGCCGTGCTCTCCTGCAAGTTTGTCGGCGTCGGCTTCGCTAGCCTTGCCCGCTCGGAGTAGCCAGCCACCAAGGTCGCCGGCAATCTCTCTCTCATCTAGCTGAGCTTCCCTATCCCGGGCTCTCGCCGCCTCCGCGTAGGTGGCCTGGAGCCTAGCCACTCTGCCGCCGTAGGACCGGATGTAGGTATCCGAACCCTCAACCTTCCATCTCCCCAGCATGTCTCTATCCGCTGGGGGGATCGGCTTCAGGCTTAGCCCCGTGGGCAGGACCGCCCGTTCGCTGTGCTCTGACCAGTAGCCCCGAGCAACGGCCGGGATCCCGACCATCGCCAGCAGCCCCGCCGTCGCCACCATGGCGTCTGCGTAGGTAGCCATCTTTTTCTCCAGGGCGCCCTTATCCCCGAGCCGCGGCATCAGGTAGTCCCGCTGATAGCCCGCGTGGTTCTTCAGCAGGTTGAAGCCCACCAGTAGCCAACCCGGGTCTTCGAAATATGCTCTCTCCGAAATGCACACCGGTAGCTCCCGGATGCGCCGGTTAGCCCCAGTGGTCTTCGTACGTCTAAGGACCCTCCACCATGGCCAGTTCGTTCGGAATCATAGCCTGGAGGTCCGACCACCGTAAGCTGCCCCAGACCTTCAGGAGCTTAGCCCAAGCCCATACTCTCCAGCCCACGGCCACGCTGGCATCGAGGACTAGCCTTTCCCACCTGGCCAAAATCGCCGCTGGGTATCTCGGAGCTCTCCTAGTCCAGGGTGCCTTCCAGGATAGCCGCTCGACCACCGTGTCCTTGATGGCCCAGGCGATCCTCCCTGAGGTAGCCCTGGACTCGGTAGCCCATTCCGCTACCCGCTCTATCCAGCTGATCGCCTTGAGGATAGCCTCTGGCACTGTCCGACCGCAAGGTTCGTCTCCTCTAGCCATGACAAAATCGGCCAGGTCTGCAGGTTGTCCAGGGGGGCGTCCATCCTTTGCCTCGCGTAGCCAAAGTCTCCACCTGACGTGGATGGAGACATAGCGCTTGAGTGTGCTAGCCCGGGTCTTCCCAGCTAGGGCAAGGATCGCCCTATCCGGGTCTAGGCTACCCTGAAGCTTCTTCAGCACAGGGGCGCCACAGATCTCCAGCTCCTCCTTTAGCTTTATAGCCCAGGTGGCTTGGAGTCGTTCTTCTCTAGCCTGCGCCAAGGACCCTTCGTTGACCAGACGCTTCTGTCTATCCCCCCTTGGGGGTTCTGGCTCGCTATCCTCTTGAAGGTCTATCCCTTCGACCGCCGGACGCTTGCAGAGATTCGCCCAGGCCAGCGAGGTAGCGTTGTAGCCGGAGGTCCTTTCCACAAGGTCTCTAGCCTCACGGGTCTCGTGTATCCACAGGTAGATCGAGTCGCCAATGTACTCGTCATAGCCCACGCCCAGTTCCTCTGCCACCTGGTGCCCCACTTCTTCCGCGTCCTCAAGTGCGAGGGTAGCCATAGTACACCGAAGCCCCGCGACGCCAGGTGCTCGTGGCACCTATCCAGCACCGCACGCTTCTGTACAAGAGCGCTATCCCTCAAGGACGGAAGTGCAACGGGACTCCCTATCCCGCCGGAGGGGGAGTTCGGCGGTCCCCCGCCCTGCTCGCCCGGAGAAGCCGGAGGCAGGACGGTCGGACTTCCTGGCTCCTCGCCCCCTGGGCTAGCCGGAATCACTGTGGTAGCCGGTGACGGAGGACTCGCCGTCCGCGAAGCAGAGGGAGTGCGAGGAGAGGCTGCCATTCTTTATCCAGAATGGCCACGGTCACACACACTTTCGTAGCCATTCCAAGTCACAGCTATCCTGACCCGACAAATATCTTGCTATGGTCCAGTCGGGCTCTTGGGACATTGTGGCTATGTCCCCTCCAGTGGCGACCTTCTCTCGGGCTACATGGGCAAACCGCAAAGGTCCGCGGCCCGTTCGCAGCTTCGGCGAGCCTCGTGGTCTGGCTAAGCTCACCTCCAAAGAGAGAGACCGGGCTATTCTTGGCAACATTTTTGCGGATTTTTCTTTGGCTACCTTCTTCGTCCTGGAGCAACCCGAAGATCTGGGGGCTATGCCAGCAGGTCCAAACAAAGGACAGCGGCCGGCTAGCATGTTGCAATGGCCCGAACATGGCCAGTTGGCTAGCCAGGGGCTGCGCTCCGTTGCCCTACATCTGGATAATTTTGGGGCGACTTCGGCGAAACCAACGCGGCTGCTGCTCAAAACAACCTTGGAGATGCCGGCTACAGTGCATGAGGGCCTGCCTACGTACGATCCCGCTGGAGGCTACCTGGGGCCCCTGCCCCCGGCATCATCGGCTACCCCAACGCAGGCCCCCATGCTGTCTTCAGCTTCCCATGGCGAGTGGACTTCAGAGCTATCCTGTTGGCTGGCGCAACTGGCTCTGGCTACCTGCGCGACTACTGCTACGACTGCCTCCGGAGAAGGGGGACAACATGTGCAGGATACGACCACACCTGACGACCTTGGCTACGTCACGAACCAACCTGAAGGACCTCGGCTACATGGTGGCCAAGGTCCACCACGGCGATGCCACCAGACCGATGGGATAAAGGACTTCCACGATGGCGGAGGGCTGTGCTCTCCCGGGCGATGGCCCCGCCAGTCAAGGCTACATGCTGCGGGAGAGTCCTGGGACTGGCTACGATCCAAAATTCGTGAGATCGTGGTCAGGCGAGCGGGCTCCGAGACCGAGCTGGAGAAGGAAGCCTTCCGGATGGCTATGGGAGGCGAGTCCGGATGCAAGCTAGCTCGCGATAGTCTGCTACATGAGGAACTGCTACAGCTCTTGCAAACTTGGATAGAGGGCCAAGACCTCAGCGAACCTGGCATTTTGGATATCCCCCTGGGCCAGCCTCTCCGACTTCGGCTACTTCGAGCGATCCTCGAGGCGGCAGGCGATCCGGATAGGGACTTCCTGCGCCGGGCCGAGGAGGGCCTACCTTTGGGGATACTGGAAGGGCTACCTCGGACCCCGCACGTCTTCGAGGAGCAAACTTCGTGGCGGCTAGACAACACCCCGTGGGAGCCTGCACTAGCGTGGGTACCCAACTACTCGTCGGTTAGCGATCACCGGGAATTCGTGCGGGCTAAGTTCGAAGAGGACGTGGAAGAGGGCCTCATGGAGAAGATGACCCTTGGCGAGTTCAAGGCGAGGTTTGGCGAGGATAGGGCTATCGCTTCTCTGGCCGTGATAGTGGAAGACGAGGAGAAGGACAAGAAGCGGATAATCCACGATGCCACCCATGGCGTCAGGGTTAACCATCGGATACGGTGTCGGGACAAGATCCGAGCTCCTGGGGCGAGAGAAAAGAAACAGATCCTGCGAGAACTGATCCGATGTGGCGAGGTAGCTTTTTCGGTCGTTGGGGATATCTCGAAGGCCCATCGGCGATACAAACACCAGGCTAGCGAGCACGGCTTCATGGGGTGCCAGATAGATACCGAGGAGACGGTCCCCGGGGACCCGGATAGCCAGATCGTCTACGTCAACAAGGTGGGTACCTTCGGGCTATCTCCAGCAAGCTACTGGTGGACTAGGATAGCCGCATGTGGGCTACGGGCAACCCATCATCTGTTGGGACCTGGCTACCCCATCGACCTCCTGCTATATGCCGACGACCTCGAGGCCCTGGGGATAGGGACGGAGGGGAGGAAGGGGATTCCTCTGAGTTACCTCCTCCTCTCTGTCCTGGGCTATCCCTTCAAGTGGGCGAAGACTCGAGGTGGCTATAGAGCAGAGTATTCCTCCAACAGGCTAGGCATGTCGAAGAAGCGTGCATCCTGGCTCTCATCTTGGCTAAACGACAAGGTGGCCTCCGGCAAGGTCATGGCCAAGGAGATGCAGCAGGGGCTAGGAAGACTAGGCTTCGCGGCCATAGCATTGGATTGGCAGACCCTTCCTGGGCCCCCTCCACGCCTGGTGCGCGGCTATCCAGGGGAAGACGGGATACCTCATCATACCCACGATGCTGAGGGTTCTGATGCGATGGCTAGCCGACAAGCTCGACCAGGGGGAGAGACTTCAACGTCCCGTGACCCTCTACGCTGGGCTACCACCACTGAGCTTTTTCACTGACGCTAAAGCTGAGTCCGATAGGGCCTGGATAGGGGGCTTTCTGGAAATATCCGAAGGGAAGCCGGGACCCTGGTTTTCACTCGAAGTGGATAGGGCCTGGGCTCCCTGGGCCTTCTCGAAAGGAGATCCCAAGAAAGTGATAGCTGCGCTAGAACTGCTAGCGACCCTCGTGGGGATACGTCTCTGGGTTCCCGAGGGCGAGGATAGAAAGACCTCGCGAGTAGCCATCCGCGGATACACGGATAACAAGTCCAATGAGGCACTTGTGAAGAAGGCTATGACGACCAAGTATCCTTCCATGCTAATTTTAATGGAGGTAGCGGAAGAGCTATCCCATAAGAACTGTGAGCTACAGCTCCAGTGGATACGGAGAGACATCAACCAGCTAGCGGACGACCTCACTAATGAGGAATTTAAGGAGTTCGACCCAGGGGGAGGACTTCAAGTGGCGAGTCCTTGGCCGGCTACTCGCGCATGCAGATGGCTTCTACAAGGAGCTAGGCACGCGAAAGCGAGGGACCCCGGATAGGGTGTCGAAGTTTAGCCGAAAGGCCCGGAAGCTGGATCCCTGGTAGCCTGAGTGGCGATGCGTGGGGATGGATAGCCGAAGGCTATCGGATCTCCAGGCAACCTGGGATAGTTGCCACTCCAGATAAAAAGTCCGTCCGTGCTAGCTGAGTGCGTTGCTCCCTGTCGGTCGTCGCTCGGCTAGCTCGCAAGCTAACTACTTACTACCGCTATTGTCCCGGAGGCGTTCTGGGGATGGTGGTGGGATATAGGAGCTAGTGCACCTTTTCCCGGAAAACTCAGCAAGCGAGAACTGTCGAGTAACTCAAGAAGCCTTTCGCTTTCGCGAGGCAGCGGATCCTTGATCCAGCTCTTGGGCCGAGGCCCTCAAACTTTCGGCAGGCTTCGGCCTGTACAGGATGCACTCCTTCAGCGAAGCAGTGTTCTTCAAAATGGGAATCTTCCAGCCCTTCTCGTTGAGAAGGACTGTCGCCAGATTCGGCTCTGAGCCGACCGGGATCTGCCAGAAGGCAGATAGCAAACTTCCGGCTGCAGCCGGGGGTGAAATATACAAGCTTGTGCCCGAGGCCGAATGCCAAACCTCCACACTGCCAGCTGCCGGCTTTAAGCCAATCTTTGAAATCTGATCCGTGAAGGGGAAGATCGTCAGCTTGCCTGTCTTGGCTTTGCCCTCCAACAGACAGCACGTGGGATTCTTCAAAAAGGTCAACTCCTCTTCACAGTGCGAGTACTTCAGGAAATACTCGCAGCAGAGCTCGAAGAGCTCTCCTCGGAGTCTCTCTTGGCTGCAAGCCTCCGTATTATGGGGCAGTCGGTCCACAGAGTCAGACACCACTTCGGGTGCATCTCCGCTATACAGATCGAAAAATTTCTTGAGCTCGCTCAGAAGCACCTCGACCTCCTTGTCCCACCTCACTGGGCAAGACAGCGAGAAAGAGCCGTGGCTCTGGCCGATTTTCTCCAGCTTCCAAGGCCAGATGTCCTGATACTTCTGCTTGCCTTTGTACAGGTTCCCCTCTGCGAAGCCTTGCAGCTTCATCAGGAAGGCCGGGTCCTGCATGTTCTCCAAGGTCGCAGGGGCCGCATCAGACGGCCCATCTTTTGTAGCAGCAGCCGGTGTTGCACCGGCACTCTTGCCACCCATCTCGTGTTCGTACAAAGTCAGCAAATTGGCCAAGGACCCGTGCTCAAGGCCTTCTTGCCCCGACTTCTCTTTCTTGCACATGAAGAGGGTGCTGCGAACCATCAGGCGACCGAAGCACTCAACTGCCTTGGCACGTGCACTTGCATCCGTCACATTCTGAGTGTGAGCCCAGGCACGAGCAAGAAGCTCCTCCCAATCCTTTACAGCATCTTCCATGCCTTTCGCACAGAGCCTGCTGACATCGCTCTTGCTCAGCAGCCGAGCCACACCGTCTACCACTTTTGTGGCTGTCAGGTTCGTCGCGATCATCGCAGCCCTTGCGAAAGCATGCGATCGCTCCTGCCCTGCAAACCGGAGGCCGGCGACCGTGGACATGAATTCCTCTCCCAATCTTTTGCTTGCCCCATATTTCAAGGAAAAGTCGTGCAAAAACTTCAGCAGAGGTGCTTCGGTTCCTCCTGCATAGAATCTGCAGAACAACCCGCAAGCGGCCACGGTCTGTGGCGAGGCATCCGGCACCGTGGCTGCTACATCAGCTTGCACAACATCCCAGTCGATGCACAAACCTTGCTCTGCCAGCAACTTTGCTCGGGTCACCATCGCCATGGCGAGCTCCAGCTCGCCTGCCGTTCTTGCAACTCCTTGGGCTGCATTCATGACTTCCTGAACGAAGGAGGCCAGCGAGGGCAGTACGGCATCAACTTCCGCTGACAGCACCAGCCACTCCCATCCATTATCCACGGCCTGCCGAAAGTCCGTAGACAATCGCTGCAACGTGAGCTTGCCGTTGTCCGACACCGTCTCTTGGTCCGAGGGACATGCTGCAATGCAGGCACGGCAAAATGCCGTAAAGTGACTGCATGCTAACGACATGTATCGCTCATCGCCTCGCACCTCAGCTAGCAGCCCTCCATTCATATCCACTTGCCGCTTGTTGAAACTAAAGGCCTTTTGGCTCAGAGCTCTATCCGTGGATATTTCCATGCAAACACTTCGCTTCAGCTCCATGGAGCTGAAGCCTACAGATTGCACTTGGGCCCCTGTCTTGTGAACTTGGGCTCCATTCAATCCTAACCCTGAGCGATTCGACGGGTGCACCAGGACTTGACCCGGCCGCAGCCCCTGCCTGTAGCACTTCCTGCTCTCCTGCAGGATAGTTTCGATCTCCGTCCATCTCTCCAATGCCGGAGCATCTTTCTTCAATGCCTGCTCCACGGCCGTAGCCCAGGCAGGCTTCATCTTTTCCAAGTTCTCTTGAAAAAAAACGGCTGCATGGCAACAGGATATGCATTTAATTGTCCGCCCTGCCCCCCCCCTGTATACATGCACCCTTGAAACACAAGTCATTTACGTGCCTAACATAGTCATTTCCCTATATAAGAACTGTACTTCAAAAAGTTATGTTAACTTAGCTAAACTTTAGCTAAACCCCCTAACCTTTGTAAATGTTTAACATACTTACACCACTTATGTAAACACTTAGCTAAGTCTCTTAACAGTTGTATTTGTTTATCACACTTATAGTGATTTGCAATATAGATACAACCGGGTTGCAAGCTATTTAACAACATGCTTGCAATCTATATAAACACTTACAAAGCCACGGTTCTTCCCAGTAGGGCCCTTGAGTCTGGGCAACCGCCTGAGCAAAAGGTGTGTTGCGCGTGTTTTCTGATACTGGTAGCGGAGCGAGAGAAGATCGGGCCTCGGGTTCGACAGCTCCCTCCAGGTTCTCACCTGGAGTGCCTCGCCTTAGGGCCGACGGTGCTTACGCGCCTCGCCCTTCAGCCCCAGGTGCACCTCCCCTTCAGTGCCTCACCCTCCGGTTGAGGTGCACAACCTTCGGTGCCTCGCCTCCTGGCTGAGGTGCACAATCCTCTGCGCCTCGCCCTCCGGCTGAGGTGCGCGATCTTCTGTGCCTCGCCATCCGGCTGAGGTGCCCCTTTCTGCAGCACCAGCCCGAAGCGGCATTGGTGCCCCTGAGAGCGCCCGGCCACGATCGGCCCGGAGCGCAAGCACCGCGCGGAATCCCGCGGGTGCTGAGCTGAGGCCAATCGGCCCAGCGAGCCTGGTGAATAAGGCGCCCCCGCGCAAAGCGGCGCCACGGACTTGGCGAGAAGGCAACCGGGACCCAGCTGGGGAAGCTCCTCCTAGCGAGACTTACAGCAGCACCGAGGGGAGCTCAGCGCCACCACCGCCTCCGGCTGCGAGCTCCCTTCCTCCGACCGGCGGTACCGGTTCCAGGCCTCGGCGCCTCTCCGGGACCACCGCCACTCCCGCAGACGACCATCTACCCGGATGGGACGGCCCAGCAGGGGTTGTACACTGCCTCGGGACAGTTTTATAGGGTACTTCAGGGTGCCTGTCGGCGTGCCCGTGGTGATGCCCTCGAGAGTCCCGATGAAGGTCACCGGAGAGGCTAGTGCAGCCGCCTCTCCAGGCCCAACAGCTTCCACGGCCGCAGCGGCTACTCCGGAGCCTCCTAAGGCAGTGAAGACCGAGCCGAAGGAGAAGGAGCCACGGCACCCCAAGGACAAAGGGGATGCCAGTGCCGAAAGCTTACCCCCTCAAGAAGGACAAGGGGGGCGGCCGGGTGAAAGACGAGCCCAAGGAGACTCGCGAAGACAGGAGCCCCTCTTTTGAGCGCGAGTTCCTGCCACAGGCGAGTGCGAAGTCGGGCGCTCACAAGCCGTACAATGAACCCTGCACAGTGGGTTGTTTGAAGATAGGTGAGATAGGTGAGATACTATCCAGGTTATAAACCATTTATAAGTGACTTAGGCATGGTCTAACTCGTTTCTATCTCTATCTCAAGATACTATCTTCGACGGAAGATGGCAAGAGATAAAAGACTTAGAACGGACTTAGAAAAGATAGCTGCGCCAACAGGGTGAAGAAGTAGTGTATGGCCAGAAGAGAAAGAAAAAGATAAAAACATATAAAAACATATAAAAAAAGATAAAAAAAGATAGGAAAAGATAAAAAAAGATAAAACAGAGATAGCAGGAGTATCAACAGACGGCGCTTTGACGAGTCCGTGCATGTAGTTTTTTTCGTGCACCTTCCGCGAGGCTTGAAGAGGCAATGCGAGACCAGACTGCACGATCCCAGAAGAAATGCTCTGATTGGCGTTTCTATACTGGCCGGCACAGCTTACGAAGTGCACGTCCTTTCTGCACACGTGGAAAACGCCGAGCCCTTCTTTGAGGCCAAAAACCAGCTGGAGCTTGCACACATCCTTCCTAAACCCAGAAGGCTTATGCCCGAAGCCTTGAATCTTGAAGCGGAAGTGAAACAGATTGCAAGACACTCTCTTGCAGCTGTCCGCTGTGCCTGTATTGGGGGGTCCCGCCAGCAGCAGCAGCAGCAGCCTACTAGGTCTCAGAATCTGCCAGAGGCAAAGACCTTCTGGCCTCCAGGGTTGAGGCCCAGATGAGGCACTACACGCACTACCCTGCACTACCCGGCCCCAGCTGGCCCAGATTCGTAGAGGGCTCCAGGCACTACTCTCCTTCAGGCTCCCAAGGCCCAGGGGCGCACTACACCACACTACCTTCCGCCAGGGTCCCCAATAGGGTCCAGCAGCTCTTCTTCACTGGTTGGTCTGTGTGGCTCAAGTCCCGGCAGCAGCGTCTATAGGTCTTGTCCCCCAGCAGCTCAGACTCCTGCCGTGCCGGCCAAGCATGGCCGCTACAGACCCGAGCACTCGGGATTGCCATCGTAGGTATAAGTACCTGAAATCAAGCCCTTCCTATCTTTCACAGGAGACGCAGCTGAATGCTGAGCAAGCTGGCGAGGAAACTGCCACCCAGTTGCTGGGCCTTGCGCCCGACGCTGATGCGCTTCCGGCTGCAAGCCTGCCTTCCGAAGCTCTGGCGGCAGGAGCTGAGGCAGTCCCTGGTGCACGGCTGCAGCTGCAGCTCACTCAGCCTTGCGGAAAGTGCCGCAAAGTTTGACGTGTTTGTGCTTTCCATGTTCGGTATCTTTTGAGCCTACTGGTTTTCCTTAAATCAGATAAAAAAAGATAGAAAAAGATAAAAAAAGATAAAGAAAGATAGAAAAAGATAGAAAAAGATACTAAAAAATAAAACAGATTTAACTTATCTCACTTTTATCTTTTTTTATCTCTCCTTTCTCTTTCTTTCTCACCTAAGTCAAACAACCCACTGTGTGGTGCCTCAGGCAGCGCAGGCCCCATTGGAGGGCCGACTCCTCGCAGAGTCCGATGTCGGCACCGCCTCACGTCCCAGGGGGGCGTGGGTGCCGCCTGGCGACGGACCTGGCTACTGGTTCTTCGTGTTGATTGAGGAGCCAGACCGCCTGGACGACTCACGGGACCGGCGTGGAGACTCCAGGCCCCATACCCCGCCGAGGCGCCCCAAAGGCAAAGGCCACGGCAAGGGGAAGAAGGGCAAGCCCGCGCGCAAGGGCAAAGACAAGGACCGGAAGCGCGGCAAGGACGCCCCGGCGCCGGCAAGGAAGAAGAACAGGCCGGGCAAGAAGCAGCGTGAGCGGCGCAAGTTCGCGGCAAGGCGCGACCGTGGATCGGACAGCCGCGGCAGCCCGGACCCGAAGCGCCCGCGCAAGAAGGCAAAGAGCGAAGAGGCAAGCCCGCCGCCACCGCCTCCGGCAACTCCTCCGCCGAACCCCTCTCCGACGTCCCCAGCAGACCGCCACGAGAGGATGCACGGCGACTCCAGCCCGTCCGACGAGGACCAGGAGGACGAGGGCGAGGGCGAGGGCCACTTCGCTGAAGAGGAGACGCTGACGGACGACCCCACGGTCACCCCGCCGGACACACCGGCTCCGTCCGAAGCGCCAGCTCAGCGTGCAGAGCCGTTGCGTGCTGTCCAGGCAGCCCGGCCAAGGCACCGAGCAGGCCGGCGAGCAATCGCTCGCAAGGCAAGGAGCACTAGGCAAGCCACGCGATGGCGCGCAGGCCAAGGCGAGCGGGCCTCCTCTGCCCCCGCCGCTCAGCGACCGCGTCATCGACGACAATGCCCCCACGCCTCTGCGGGTGGAACCCGCACAAGGGCCCCGCCCCAGGCGTCAACTGGCGTGGTGGCGCTCCCCCACAGCCACCCAAGTACGACGCCTCCGCTCGCGACGTCGGGTCTTTCGACCGCTACGCGAGGAGGGTCAGGGTGTGGGCACGAAGAGTCGCAGCGTGGATGCCCGATGGGGACGCGGCCCTGCTCCTGGTGGAGTCCCTGACCGGGCTCCCAGAGCGAGAGCTGGAGTTCGTGCCCCTCTCCACCATCGAGGAAGGTGGTGTGGAGGGCGTTCTCAAGCGCCTGGAGAGCGCCGCCTCGGATGCCCTGGTGGTGATGGTTGATGAAGCAAAACAGTTCGTACATGTTATTCCAGTAGCGACAAAGGAAGCGACAGCATACGTTGTTGAAGAAGTCTGCAGAGTGCTTATGCTGTTGAATTCTAAAGTCATTCTGAGAACTGACACGGAACCAGCAATGATTTCGCTGAGGAAGAAGGTGCAAGGAATACGGAAGATGAAGAATCTTGATACAGAGATACAAGATGTAGCACCCGATGAACACCAAGGATTGCAACAGAAACATGGGTTCAAACAGTTCGGAACTTATCTAAGACATTGGTGTATGGAGTTGAATCGCAAGCGAAAGTGAAGATTACTTCAGAAAGCACGCTGTATCCATGGGCAGCAAGACATGCAGCATTCCTGCTGAATAGGTTTGTTGTGAAGAAAGGATCAACACCGTTTGAAGTACAGTTCGACAGAGAGTACAAAGGAACGTTAGCGCCATGGGGAGGCGTTGTACTAGCAAAGCCAGTACCAAAAGTCAAGGAGAAAGGTGAAGCATGGAGAAAAGGAATCTTCGTTGGAAAAGACTCGATGAACAACCTGAATCTGATAAGCACAAGACAAGGAATCATCAAGAGCAGAACGATAAGACAGTGTACGCCACTGTACGATGTCGAAGTGCTTGCAGAAGCAACAGGAACACCGTGGAACTACACACAAGACATGTTGGTAGGAAGAAAATCCACGAAGAGATTGCCACCACACAGTGGAATTGAGATGGCAATTGGCGACAGGCCAGAGTTTGTTCAAAGAAAAGAAAGAAGCCAAGAACAAGAAGAAGAGTTGAGAGATTACAGCCCAAGTCAAGAAGCGGCGTCAGATCCGCCAAGCGAGACTGAACAAGACATGAACGAAGATCCAGGTGAAGGACATGTAGGATCATCAAGCAGCAGTTCAAGCA